AGTGTGTGTGTGTGCGTGCGTGTGTGTGTGTGCGTGTGTGTGTGTGTGTGTGTGAAGAGATGTCACATACACGTAGAACTGGGTAGGTGAGTTCAAGGCCAGTTCCTTCAATACCAGCACAGCGGTGTGGCGTCTGCTCTCTTTGCGGTCCATCTCAAGCCATTCCAACGCCCGTTTTACCTGCAGGCGAGTAGAAAGCGGGGCGCATATGAACAAGTATTATATTACAGACTATTAAAAATACTTTAACACAGACTGATGAATACTGTATCACAGACTATATTATAAATACTATAACACAGACTATGATGAATATTATATTACAGACTATATTATAAATACTATAACACAGACTATGATGAATACTATATTACAGACATCAGAGACTAGGCGCCATTCCGAAGCGCGCTTGGCCTATAGGCACGATCCAAGTGGAGCCCAGACTGCAAACTATACAAATGCCACAGACACTACTCTGATATCTTATCTTAAGCAATCTGTGCGTCGGCTTTTTCGTATGCCCAGGTGCGACATGTCTGGGAAAGTCCGTCTATTAGATTTACGATACAAACAAACTCTTCGCTTTGAGGATTTACACATGTAAACCCTCAAACCAATCCCTGCTTTGCTATGTTTGTGGTTGTAGATTCAATCGCTAAAACCCTAAAATCCTAAACCCTGAATCCTACAAGCGTATGATAGAATAACACTCAGACGAGAAAATGCACAGGATGGATTATGACCGTGGTAACACCAAGCTTGTGTTGAGACAATTTGATTGGACCCTATGCACAAGTATACTATGTTTCAGAAAACTATGTGTGTTTGTACTTGCGCATATATTATGTTTTGTGTGCACATGTGTACTCTTGCCCGTGGTATTCACAGACATACATACCTGATCAGTATATTTATATATATATATATATGTATATTATATATATATAAATAATATATATATATATACATATATGTATATATATATATATATCTATATATATATACGTGCCAACAAGCCATTACCTCAAAATCGACGAAATCGTTGAAGTGGGTGCTATCTCCTAGCAACACCACATGCCCCAGTGCCTTGCAGGCGCTCTTCATGATGTCTTGGTCATTGATACCCCCCAGTGCCGCACGCAAGTAGTTTGCGCGGTCAATCTTGGTACCATTATCTTCGCCGTCGATATCCATGAACTCGTCTATTAATAGATTTGGCAAGTATTAATTGCTATCCATGAATTCGGCTATTAATAGATTTGACAGGTACTAATTATTATCCATGAACTCGTCTTTTAATATATTTGGCAAGTATTGATCGTTATCCATGAACTCGTCTATTAATAGGTTTGGCAAGTATTATTCATTATCCATGAACTCGTCTACTAATAGATATACGAGGTTGTACTGGCAACTACAGACAACCCATACAGCTACACACACACACACATGCACACGTGCATACACACACCCACATGCATACAAGCATGCACACACTCCCACATACATACAAGCATACACACACTCCCACGTGCCTATGATCAGGATGCCACCCAGCTTCTCCGTCACTATCAGCGACTGCACCAGACTCAATATTCGCTTGTTAATCTCGCTCATAAAGTCGTTGAAGTGCTCCTTCGTCATCTCCTGGGCTTGAGTAACCACCTGTGTATTTTTTTAGGTTTTAGGGTTTTAGAGGTTTAAGGGTCTGGGTTTAGGGTTTATGGCTTTGAAACTTTATGGTTTAGGGTTTTAGAGGTTTAAGGTTCTGGGTTTAGGGTTTATGGCTTTGAAGTTTTATGGTTTAAGGTTTGATCGATAGGAATGCTGGCTGGCTAGTCGACTGTGCACACTTACGGCTCTACTATTGTAATCTGCTGGTTGCCATCCGACAGGTCATGATGGGTAGTGCGTGCTGTAGGGTTTATTGTTCAACAGACTCGCACCTACTACTTGAGTCCGAAAATAAACACACTCTGCTAACAACTCTAATGAAATAGACCAACAACAGTCGGTGAGAAAGAGCTCCATTTCCAAATACGACAACAGGATTCTCTTCAACCATTGCATGAGCAGATGTCCCACTAAACACACTAAATGATTATAAGTCATTGAGACCAATGCATGGGCAGATGTCCCACTAAACACACTAAATGATTACAAGCTATTGAGACCAATACATAGGCAGATGTCCC